GAAAACCTTGAAGCTACATGTCCTTCAATAGTGTCATGTGCAGATATCATAACATTAGCAACAAGAGATTTTGTTGCTTTATCTGGAGGATCAAAATACGTTGTTCCCACAGGAAGACGTGATGGATTAGTCTCTAAAAGTAACGAAGTTGATTTGCCAGTACCGTTCACTCCTGTGCCAATAGCATCACAAATGTTTGCGAAAAAATGGGTGCACATACAGTTGGTGTTGCACACTGCCATTTTTTCTGATAGACTTGGTGAGGTACCTGACCCTACAATGGACCCTGCGTTAGAGGCAAAGCTTGCCAAGTTGTGTAACTCAACCGTGAGTGGTGAGCCTGCTGCATTTTTGGACCAGAAAAAACATTTTCTTGTTGATAACCACTTCTACATGGAGGTTCTTGTCAAAAGGGGTGTTTTGCAGATTGATCAGCAACTTGCTTTAGATAAAGCTACAAAGGGCTTTTGTGTCACGTTTTGCAGCAAAAGGTGATAAATTTCGAAAAAGTTTTGCAAATGCAATTGTTAAGATGGCGAAGATTGAAGTTCAAGTTGGGGATGAGGGAGAAATTCGCAAGAATTTCAGGGTATTCAACTAAGGCAACTAGATTATTTATCCAATTACACTTTCTTTTTATTTTGTGGACTCTCATTCATGTGAAGTCACAACGAATATATATTATCTGTAATAAGAAGTAGGACGACCAGCGTTGTATATATTATCTTTAACTTACAATTTTGTTAATTTTGTTATTCCTTTACATAAAATCCAACACTAAATATAATTATTAGTTCATAATGTGTTTAGCGATTGTTTACCGTATTTTTTATTTTTCTTAGAAAATAATTTTAAACCCGTGAATCGAATGATAAACAATATTAGCTAAGATATAATTAAGTCGTTAGTAATTAAATAATTTAAAACTTTAAATGTTAAAATAAATCAAAGTTATCTAGCCCTTAACGTGGCTCATGTGGTAACCATGTGTGATTTGAATCGTGACTTGCCTGGCTTCGGACAGGGCTAGCAAACATTTATTGTATCCTAATTTTATCGATCTTTAGACATAAATAATCAAAATGACGCTATTTTGGAATTGGAAAATTAAAAAATTAGAATGATAAAGACTATTATATCCCTAAAATAAATTAAAATTACAAATACATATGATGGCGGTTCTATCAAAGCAGATCAATGGTTTACATGCTTACAAATCAGAGTCGTTAGATCAAAGAAAGATCAACGACTCTCAGATTATGTACGTGTGTATGTGTGTGGGTGCGGGCGTGCGCATGTGCATGCGTGCGTGCGCATGTGCATGCGTGCGTGCATGTGTACGTGCGTGCGTGTGTCAAAATAAATAATTACTGCGCATGCAATTACACGATTCTTTTGTTAGAGTAAGAGCAATTTATTTAAACATGTTGTAAATATAACGTGCATTTTCCTATACAACAACTCATGACAACTAAACTTGTAACATTTCTTCTTTCTGTAGGGTTGTGATGCATAAATACTCATAGACTCCACCAAGAACAACACATCAGAGAGAAACGCAACTCCAAACGCTAGCGTTCGAGCGTATGATCTGATTGATGAGGTCAAGGAAAACCTTGAAGCTACATGTCCTTCAATAGTGTCATGTGCAGATATCATAACATTAGCAACAAGAGATTTTGTTGCTTTATCTGGAGGATCAAAATACGTTGTTCCCACAGGAAGACGTGATGGATTAGTCTCTAAAAGTAACGAAGTTGATTTGCCAGTACCGTTCACTCCTGTGCCAATAGCATCACAAATGTTTGCGAAAAAATGGGTGCACATACAGTTGGTGTTGCACACTGCCATTTTTTCTGATAGACTTGGTGAGGTACCTGACCCTACAATGGACCCTGCGTTAGAGGCAAAGCTTGCCAAGTTGTGTAACTCAACCGTGAGTGGTGAGCCTGCTGCATTTTTGGACCAGAAAAAACATTTTCTTGTTGATAACCACTTCTACATGGAGATTCTTGTCAAAAGGGGTGTTTTGCAGATTGATCAGCAACTTGCTTTAGATAAAGCTACAAAGGGCTTTTGTGTCACGTTTTGCAGCAAAAGGTGATAAATTTCGAAAAAGTTTTGCAAATGCAATTGTGAAGATGGCGAAGATTGAAGTTCTCGTTGGGGATGAGGGAGAAATTCGCAAGAATTTCAGGGTATTCAACTAAGGCAACTAGATTATTTATCCAATTACACTTTCTTTTTATTTTGTGGACTCTCATTCATGTGAAGTCACAACAAATATATATTATCTGTAATAAGAAGTAGGATGACCAGCGTTATATATATTATCTTTAACTTACAATTTTGTTAATTTTGTTATTCCTTTACATAAAATCCAACACTAAATATAATTATTAGTTCATAATGTGTTTAGCGATTGTTTACCGTATTTTTTATTTTTCTTAGAAAATAATTTTAAACCCGTGAATCGAATGATAAACAATATTAGCTAAGATATAATTAAGTCGTTAGTAATTAAATAATTTAAAACTTTAAATGTTAAAATAAAACAAAATTATCTAGCCCTTAACGTGGCTCATGTGGTAACCATATGTGATTTGAATCGTGACTTGCCTGGCTTCGGACAGGGCTAGCAAACATTTATTGTACCCTAATTTTATCGATCTTTAGACATAAATAATCAAAATAACGCTATTTTGGAATTGAAAAATTAAAAAATTAGAATGATAAGACTATTATATCCCTAAAATAAATTAAAATTACAAATACATATGATGGCGGTTCTATCAAAGCAGATCAATGGTTTACATGCTTACAAATCAGAGTCGTTAGATCAAAGAAAGATCAACGACTCTCAGATTATGTACGTGTGTATGTGTGTGGGTGCGGGCGTGCGCAGGTGCATGCGTGCGTGCGTGTGCACGTGCGTTCGTGTGTCAAAATAAATAATTACCGCGCATGCTATTACACGATTCTTTTGTTAGAGTAAGAGCAATTTATTTAAACATGTTGTAAATATAACGTGCATTTTCCTATACAACAACTCATGACAACTAAACTTGTAACATTTCTTCTTTCTGTAGGGTTGTGATGCATAAATACTCATAGACTCCACCAAGAACAACACATCAGAGAGAAACGCAACTCCAAACGCTAGCGTTCGAGCGTATGATCTGATTGATGAGGTCAAGGAAAACCTTAAAGCTACATGTCCTTCAGTAGTGTCATGTGCAGATATCATAACATTAGCAACAAGAGATGTTGTTGCTTTATCTGGAGGATCAAAATACGTTGTTCCCACAGGAAGACGTGATGGGTTAGTCTCTAAAAGTAACGAAGTTGATTTGCCAGGACCCTTCACTCCTGTGCCAATAGCATTACAAATTTTTTCAAAAATATGGGTGCACATACAGTTGGTGTTGCACAATGTCGTTTCTTTTCAGATAGACATGGTGAGGTACCTGACCTTGCAATGGACCCTGCTTTAGAGGCAAAGCTTGCAAGTTGTGTAACTCAACAGTGAGTGGTGACCCCGCTGCATTTTTGGACCAGAAAATACCTTTTCTTGTTGATAACCACTTCTACATGGAGATTCTTGTCAAAAGGGGTGTTTTGCATATTGATCAGCAACTTGCTTTAGATAAAGCAACAAAGGGCTTTTGTGTCACGTTTTGCAGCACAAGGTGATAAATTTTGAAAAAGTTTTGCAAATGCAATTTTGAAGATGGCGAAGATTGAAGTTCTCGTTGGGGATGAGGGAGAAATTCGCAAGAATTTCAGGGTATTCAACTAAGGCAACTAGAATATTTATCCAATTACACTTTCTTTTTATTTTGTGGACTCTCATTCATGTGAAGCCACAACGAATATATATTATCTGTAATAAGAAGTAGGATGACCAGCGTTATATATATTATCTTTAACTTACAATTTTGTTAATTTTTTTATTCCTTTACACAAAATCCATAACTAAATATAATTATTAGTTCATAATGCGTTTAGCGATTGTTTACCGTATTTTTATTTTTCTTAGAAAGGAATTTTAAACCCGTGAATAGAATCATAAACAATATTAGCTAAGATATAATTAAGTCGTTAGTAATTAAATAATTTAAAACTTTAAATGTTAAAATAAAACAAAATTATCTAGCCCTTAACGTGGCTTATGTGGTAACCATATGTGATACGAATTGTGACTTGTCTGGCTTCGGACCGGGCTAGCAAACATTTATCTTACCCTAATTTGACCGATCTTTAGACATAAATAATCGAAATGATGTTATATTGGAATTGAAAAATTTAAAAATTAGAACGAGAAAGACTATTATATCCCTAAAATAAATTAAAATTACAAATACATATGATGGTGATTCGATCAAAGGAGATCAACAGTTTACATGCTTACACAGTGTTGTTAAACACGGACCGGGCATCATCCCGGTCGGGGTACTGGGTCACTGGGTCACTGGTCGGACTGGTTGACCCGAATATATATAAATATATGTAATTATGTATATAAATATGAAAAATCAGCATCTGAGTACAACTTGAGAAACATTAATTTTTCCTGCTCACTGGATGTATATGTAAAGATTTTACAAAAAATCCCAAATCTTGGAAAATGAACAAAATAACTCTTCTTCCTGATCCATGTATGCATATGTAAAGTTTTTTTGTTTGGATGGTGTAGCAACATATAACCCAAGTTGATACCATCAATATCAACAAACTTCTAGAGATAAGAATAATAACTTAACAAAAGTAATTACCATAACTTCAATTCTTCCAAAGGAGTAGTTCAAGATTTCAAGCAAAATAACTATTTAGGATACACATATTATAACCCCAACCATCAAACAAATTCATCATCTGTCAACTCACAAAATAAGCTCAAAATATAATATATCCAATCACACTTTTACAGTTTCACAAGTTCATAATTACTCCATAAATTGCAAAAAATAAGCTTAAATAAGTAGAAATGCATGTTATCACTATGCCCATGGTTCCAAAGTTGCATCAATGAATTTAGGCCCACCAAACTCATCTAAACCTTGACCAATATTGCTTTCATTTTGGGCTATAACTTCCACGTTGTGTGAATCTGCATCATTATCTTCATCCTCATCCAAATTTAATTGATTTATGACAAGTAAATTTTCATGTAAGTTAATAGCAAATATTAACTGATCAAAATCAAATTGAACAATAAAATTCTATTTATTATGTTGTACAAAAGCATACCAATATCATTTGCAATTAGTGGAACGACATTCAAGTCTATGTTTTGACGTAAAACTTCCTCTTCTTCATCATTTAATAATGTTGGTGACATCTCCAAAATCCAATCAGAATGCTCCTCAATCATTGCCAAATCAATTGGGTCATAATTTTAGCGCTTCGTTTGATCCCTAAAATTTTTAATTTTCAACATCAGAAAATTACTTGCACATATTTATATGTATAATATAACAAATGAATATAAACAATAAATGAACATGATAATACCTTGTTTGCAGGTTCAAGTTGCAACAAACATAGACAAGATCATTAAGCTTTTTGTGGTGCAACCTATTTCTCTTTTTTGAATGAATATGCTCAAATATACTCCAATTTCGCTCACAGCCCGAGGCACTACAAGTTTGGCTTAGGATACGAATTGCTAATTTTCTCAAGTTTGGTGCACCAAAGCCATAACATTCCCACCATTTATCTAGAATGTAATAAAAAAAAGTAGTATTCATAAATTCATACTAATATATTTTTCAACTATGATAAGTTAATAATTTTACCTGGCATCACTGTATTTCGTTCACGTAAAGCTGATTGCCTTCCAAAATCACCTTCAGCAGCTTTGAATATCCTCATCTCATTTGTCAATTTAGCTTGCAACTCAGAATTCCCAAAAGAATACCTCTCAATGACATCCAAAAGGCCAGATGTTGTGAACTCATATTTTTCAAATTCATCTATATTAAAATGACATCCTGGATTTAACCAATAACCTGCAGCATGCAAATTTTTACGAAGCTGTGAATCCCAACGAGTATCTAAGATTTTCAAATATGGCTCCACCTTCTTCTTATTTCTTTGAAATCTCCTCACCATCTCCTCTCTAGCTTTAATTATGGCCTGATAAAGAAAACCCATGGCAGGCTTATCTTCACTATCAACAATACGTAATACACGTACAAGTGGCTCAATAAGTTTTACAATATCAGCACATTGTTTCCAAAATTTAGAGTCTAACACTTGCTCCACAAATTTTTTTGCCTTCACATCCTTGGAATAAGTTGAACTTGTCCAATCTCTTGATGTTACCATTTCTCTTAGTGCATCTTTTTGAGCCAATATACTTTGCAAAGCAATGAAATTTGTGGCAAAACGGGTTGGAGCTGGACGAAGTATTTCTTTCCCACCTGTAAATTTTCTCATCAAATACAACGGATGACAATGGTTATAAACATACTTGGTGATTTTTGCAGCATGTTCCACAGCTTCAATTACATCATCTAACTTGCCAATATCTTGGAACATTAGATTAACACAATGAGCAGCACACGGAGACCAAAATATCTTAGGAAACTCAGCCTCTAATAACCTCCCAGCAGCAACATAGTTAGCAGCATTATCAGTCACAATTTGAACAACATTGTTTGGCCCAACAAACAAAATTATTTCTTTAAAAAGCTGGTATAATAATTCTGCAGTTTTAGATGCATGAGAAGCATCAACAGATTTCACAAAAAATGTTCCTTTTGGGCAATAAACCAGAAAATTAATAAGAGTGCGCCTACAACGATCAGTCCATCCATCTGCCATAATAGTGCATCCAGTATGCTTCCAAACAGCTCTATAGCTCTCAAGAAGTTTCTTGACCTCATCAACTTGGCTATTTAGCAAATCACCACGTAGCATGTGATATGATGGAGCTTTAAATCCTGCACCTAAGCTACATACAGCATCAAACATTTCTTGAAAATAAGGTGAGTTGGCTGCATTAAATGGGAGACGCGCATGAACCATCCATTTTGATATAGCAAGGTGAGCTTTCCGAATCACTTCTTTGCTTTGTAACACACTTTTTAATGTCGGTTGAGCTCCAGGAGTTGTTCCTGGGATAAAATAAGAACCTGAGGAATTGATACTCTTCCCCTTTTCAGAAATAAGAGGTGATTTCCTTGATAAATTTGCAATTTGTTGCACTTGATCATTTGTTATTCTCAAGTCATCAACATGTTCACCACCTTCGTGATCTTGCTCTTGAACTTTTCTTTTCTTTTTCTTGTTTTCATCAATATTTTGCTTCATTTGAGCACGAATCTCAGCTTGAACTTTCTTACATGCTTCAACATGCCCTTTTTCTCCAGCCAAATGAAACTTTAACCGATTTATCCCACCTCCCCTAATAATCTTATTACAATGAAGACACATATTCACAGTTTTCCCTTGCTCCATAACCTGCTTACAATGAGACCAACTTGGATCAACTTTTCCTCTATAATGCGGCTGGGATAAAAATTGAGACGATACATCTTGTGATGATGGTGTTTTTTCGGGTTCAGTGGAAGCCATCTTCACAAATCACAACAACTTAGTAATGTAGGCTAAAAAAACACTGCATCAAATTAAACAAAATTATTGCATCAAATTCAAAAGAATACTAATTTGAAAATAAACTGTGCAAAATAAAGAGAGGACTGCAACCAATAATGCATTAGATTGGATCCCTGATAAAACAAATAATGTATCCATAAAAAAAAGGATAAGACAAGCAATTATAACCAAAAGAATCAAAAGAAAGGATAAGACAAGCAATCATAATAGAACTCAAGCAATTTTTGACAGGGTATAAAGTAAACACCCTTCTCAAAAGAAAATAATAAATTTAGATAAATTAAGAGTACCCCTTAGCAATTGGCACAAGTCATCTCTACTTGCTTGGGAACCCTGTGTTTGTTTTATTTTGACACATTACATAAGGAAACTCAGGTAAAATTATCATAGGAAGAATCTAAACATTAGCAGAAAACATTTCATATAAATGAGTACATATACTGCATAGAAGTGTACAACTTTTATGTTAAGTGAAACCAATATAACCTTGAAGTCTTGAACAACCCCTCTTGCTTCTGAGATTATTGATCCAAGTATTCACGTTTTGATTAACATACATACATAACTAATAGCAATAGAACTATATGGCGTGCTTAATGAATGCAATAATAGACCAATTGAAGGTTGTTTCTCAGTAGCCATGATCAATTAATGTTGTTATAGCAATATACCAAAACTTGAGAATACTATTTATGCCTTTGAAGTTTTAACAACTCCAAATACAACTCTCTACATTTCCAACTAGTTCAGATCCATCTGAGATAAATGGACTACTAGTTTCCTGCATGACGTGGTATCCAAAAATATGATGAATAATTGCTTGTATCTGGCCTACCCTCTTGGAGAACACTACCAAAGAATACAAAGGTCTACTCTAGCAATAACAGGACTAGAATATTTTGATGCATCATCATTTATATGAATAAAATAACTGTATAGACCATTATTTGGAATAATAGGAATTAAAATCTGAATATTAACAAAATAAAGAAATGCAAAATGAAATCTACAAGTAAATGACAATAAAACTCATTTGTAGTTAAAAATTTTAATGCCCTTAAATTTTAAAAATTTATCAAAAGAAACTGTAGTGGACACATCCCTGCTATCTAATCAGGAGATATTACAAATCTGGGGAAAAAGAATGAAAGAAACAAAAGAAAGAGAACCTGAAGAACCAAAATGGAGGTTTGGCGTGAGAGCAGTGATAAAAGCCTGGTGCTATAGAAGCTTCGGTGCTCTGTTATTTGCAAGAATGGTTAGAACCATTATTTGCAAGAAGCTATTTGAAAGAAAGGTAAACCATGACCGCTTCGTAGAACCTGGCGGGTCACCGGAACCCGTTAAAAACCCGGCGGGTCGTGCGGGTCACAGGGGGCTGATTACTTGACCGGTCTAATAGCTCACCCAAACCGGTGACCCAACCAGGTCACCGGGACCCGGGTCGACCCGGCCGGGTCGGTCCGGGTTTGACAACACTGTGCTTACAAATCAGAGTCGTTAGATCAAAGAAAGATCAACGACTATCAGATTATGTACATGTGTGTGTGTGTGGGTGCGGGCGTGCGCATGTGCATCCGTGCGTGCGTGTGTACATGCGTGCGTGCGTGTGTCAAAATAAATAATTACTTCGCATGCAATTACACGATTCTATTGTTAGAGTAAAAGCAATTTATTTAAACATGTTGTAAAATATTATAATTAAAAATAATTTCTTCTCTTAAAAAAAACGTGCATTTTCCTATACATCAACTCATGACAACTAAACTTGTAACATTTCTTCTTTCTGCAGGGTTGTGATGCATCCATACTCATAGACTCCACCAAGAACAACACATCAGAGAGAAACGCAACTCCAAACGCTAGCGTTCGAGCTTATGATTTGATTGATGAGGTCAAGGAAAGCCTTGAAGCTACATGTCCTTCAATAGTGTCATGTGCAGATATCATAACATTAGCAACAAGAGATGTTGGTTCTTTATCTGGAGGATCAAAATACGTTGTTCCCACAGGAAGACGTGATGGATTAGTCTCTAAAAGTAACAAAGTTGATTTGCCAGGACCCTACAATAGACTCCTGTGCCAATAGCATCACAATTTTTTGTGAAAAAGTGGGTGCACATACAGTTGGTGTTGCACACTGCCATTTCTTTTCTCATAGACTTGGTGACGTACCTGACCCTACAATGGACCCTGCGTTAGAGGCAAAGCTTGCCAAGTTGTGTAACTCAACGGTGAGTGGTGACCCTGCTGCATTTTTGGACCAGAAAATACCTTTTCTTGTTGATAACCATTTCTACATGGAGATTCTTGTCAAAAGGGGTGTTTTGCAGATTGATCAGCAACTTGCTTTAGATAAAGCTACAAAGGGCTTTATGTCACATTTTGCAGCCAAAGGTGATAAATTCCGAAAAAGTTTTGCAAATGCAATGTAAAGATGGGGAAGATTGAAGTTCTCGTTGGTGATTGAGGGAGAAATTTGCAAGAATTGCAGGGTATTCAACTAATACAACTAGATTATTTATCCTATTTCACTTTCTTTTTATTTTGTGGACTGTCATTCATGTGAAGTCACAACGAATATATATTATCTATAATAAGAAGTAGGATGACGAGCGTTATATATATTATCTTTAACTTACAATTTTGTTAATTTTTTTATTCCTTTACATAAAATCCAACATTAAATATAATTATTAGTTCATAATGCGTTTACCGATTGTTTACCGTATTTTTATTTTTCTTAGAAAAGAATTTTAAATCCATGAATCGAATGATAAACAGTATTAGCTAAGATATAATTAAGTCGCTAGTAATTAAATAATTTAAAACTTTAAATGTTAAAAATAAAATAAAATTATCTAGCCCTTAACGTGGCTCATGTGGTAACCATATGTGATTCGAATTGTGACATGTCTGGCTTCTGACAAGGCTAGCAAACATTTGTCTTTCCCTAATTTGACCGATCTTTAGACATAAATAAGGTTACACAAGGTTTTAGGGAAACAGATTCTTTCATGTCTCGATTAAAATACCAGGGTATCTTGAAATGATTCAATTATCTTTAAACAAATAACTGTAATGAGATATAAGTGAGAAAATGAGTTAATTGATAAAGGGAGATAAAAGGATAATCATCAATTTATTTAAAAGATAGGTTATATTTATGGGAAAAGTATTTCTCCAGACATCGGAGATAAAGTTATCTCCAGCGAGCTCAAAACGACGTCGTTTTGGGTTATAAGATTAAAAAATTATAATGACAAAGACTAATATAAACCTGCAATATATTATAAGGGTTTGGTGTTTGTCATTTTAAATGACATAAGTTTTGTCATTTTAGGAGAGAGATAGACACAGAAAAACGAAAATCGTGGGAGAGAGAAAGTGGGTGGTTTTTTTAATTTAAAATTCAAATTTTCTGTGTCTATATCTCTCTTCAAATGACAAACACTTTTCTCATATTATAATTACAAAAACACTTTGATTTCCTCGCAAAACGACGTCGTTTTGAGCTCACTGGAGATAACTTATCTCCGGTGACTGGAGAAATCATTTACCCTATATTTATAACTATTTTTCACTTACAATTTCTTACAATCATTTTTGTTATCATTTTGATTCAATGATTTATTTAATTGATAGGTTATGTTTATTAAATAATTTATTTACTTGTTTCATCTCTTAACATTCCTTTCAAAACAATTACTAAATACTAACTATTCAAAAGCAAAAGTGCAACACGCCAATCATAGTTCATATGTTAAAATTTTCTCTAATACATAAAGCCCACCAATTGACATAATTTCCAAAACACAAGGAACAAAAATTCTCTCGCCACCAATAGCTTCTGAGTAGTGTTATAAACCCGACCCGGCATCGACTCGGTCAGGATACTGGGTTACTGGTCGGACCGGCGGGTCACGAGTTAGACTGGTTGACCCGGATACATATAGATATAAAAAAAATATAGATATGAACATATCAATTCAATTATATTTTTCATATTTAAAATGAATTAAACGAGTTTCACTAAATAAGCTCAAAAATATGAAGCGTAAATAAATGAAAATGCACGCTATTACTATGTCAACTTAAATTGCAACTCAGAATCCTCATAAACATACCTCTCAATGACATTGAACTCATATTTTCAAATTCAACTACATTAAAATAACATTTGTCACATTCTCTTAATTTATTATTCAGCAAATTGCTTCAGTATTGGAAACTGAAATTTGAGATCATTGTAGAAGAGTATATTAGCAAATAAAATTATAAAAAGTTCTTACAATGAGTACTACATTTTTTCTGATAAGATGAAACCATTTTGGTTTTTTGATTTTTTTTTTTTAAATGCATGATCCGACCGGGTCACCGGTTTTGACTGGGTTTGTCCGGGTTTTGACCGAGTCGATGCATGACCGGTCCAATGCTTGACACGGATCGGTCCAATAATCGGGTCACCGGGTTTCGGGTCGACCCGGCCCGACCTACAACATTGCTTCTGAGAGGTAAGAGAGGGCAAAGTCGCCAAAATTGATATCCATATACATGCATGTAAACGTAACCGCACAGAACAATCAAGCACAAGACAGCATTTGTGGGTACAGAACCTTCAAATATTGTCTAAGCAACTATAATTTACAAGATAAAGTAATTCCACTTGGAGAATTTTTTACAACAATCCAACAATCTTTCTACATCAGTCTCATTGACTAGAACTTCAGCATTCACATCATTCTCAGCACTCTCCTTTGCAGGGGTCCACTGATTCAGAATGTTGATTATCCTTCTGAGCTATTGCAGAAGTTATGGGGAAACAAACAAATCTGGAAGCAAAAGGGAGTATGTCAAGCAGTCCAGCAAAGAGGCACAAATCCGGAAGACAAAGAGCTATTTACCATTATATTAACTAAAATACAGAGATGCACAAAAAAAAAATAGAGAATTGAAGT